ACCCCCCCGGCCGTCGTCCGCTTCACTCCACTGAACTCGTACGTACGGCGGTTACTGATTTCGAAGGGCGAGGTTGAAATTCATCTAAAATTTTAAGTGCAAGGCTTCGATTTCGAAGGATATGGTGCGCACATCATTGACTCAATTGGCTCAGAGGTAAAGATCTTCATAACCATCTTCATTGTTGTGTTTTTTCTGAGATGAGTTTTCTGATATGTCGGTGTAGTGTGTTGTTTTGTGTATTCTAAGATGTCTGTAGACTGTGTTCTTATATGTTTGTGCATTGCAGAGTTCTTTTTGTGGGTTTCCCCTGAAATGTCTGTTTAGTGTTTTGCTATATGTTTGCGGATTTAGAGTTGTCTTTATGGCTTGTATGAGATGTCTGTGTGGGTGTGATGCTTATCTGTACGTTTTTACTTTTTAAAAGCCATCTGTAAAATGTTGTTCAAAACCCATATGGTTTTCCTGAGATGTCTGTGTTGTTTGTTTTGATACGTTTGTGCATTGCAGAGTTGTCTTTATGGTTTTCATAGATGTCTGTGTACTGTGTTATTGCATATGTTTTTTTTCATTTTGTACTTGTCTATAAGCAATTGCGGATTGTAGAGTTGTGTATATATGTCCCCTGAGATGTCTGTGTTGTTTGTTTTGATACGTTTGTGCATTGCAGAGTTGTCTTTATGGTTTTCATAGATGTCTGTGTAGTGTGTTATTGCATATGTATTTTCATTTTTTACTTGTTTATAAGCATTTGCCGATTGCAGAGTTGTCTATATAGTTTTCATAGATGTCTGTATTTCTGACAAATGTCTGTATTTGCAGGATGGAATTGAAGATTCCCATCAAAGACTACTTTCCCGCACAATACTCTGTGCGCTCTGACTACGAAGATGCCTTAGAACTGCTTAGTGAATGTCTAACCTTGCAAGATCGATGAAAGATAAGAGGCGTGAGTATGCTAAACGCCTATGGAAGATGAAAGACAATCAAGCTAAATGTCTGTACAATGATGAACAATGATGGCAAGATCGATGTTGTAAAACAATTATTTTTGTATATGTAATTATTAAAAACACATTGGGGGTAGATGTATTTTTTGACATACTGGTGGTTAGATGTAGTATTTTGTACAATAATGGCCGAGCCATGTTGTACAATAATTCTACAATGTGCTTCCAATATTTTTTTGTCTGTGGCATACGTACAGGAATGTCTGTATATTTTGCGGTTGTCTGTGCAGCTTGTAGTACACATTGATATGCATTTTGGTTGTACTTCGGCAAGCATTTATTGCAACATTTTATGATAATTGTTGTGGAGTACTATCATTTGATTCATATATTTGATTAGTAAACACTAAGTGTCTGTATTATTGTGGAGTACTATCATTTGATTCATATATTTGATTAGTAAAAACTAAGTGTCTGTATTATTCTGCATTTTGTCTGCATTTTTTCTATATAATTCTGTCTGTATTATGCAAAATAATTGACTGTAATGTGATGGATTTTGTCTGCGGTATATAATTGAGTTTGAAAAAAAACTAATTGATCACAAAGCAATACATTGAAAATTTGTAAAAATAACACAAATCATCCTACCTTCACATAATAGTAATTTTGTTTACAACATTCCATAAACAAGGATGTAAATCATTCCAATCATATACTACATTCAAAAAAGAGTAAGATTTAAATCTAATCCGTCCTGAAAGTGTAATGTCATAGTATTGTTGACTACACCAACACCATGTTGATCAGCGCATCCCTCTTCAACAGCAGTGTCCGCTGCCTTTCGTTTATTACGCCCACTAGCCTGGAATAAAGGGAAGAATCAGTAATGTTGAACACAATGTAAGGTGTCTGTGCATAGGTGATCAATGTCTGCGAAAGTGTTGTAAGTGTCTGTACATTAAAGAAATGGCAGGGCAACATACCTTTGACTTCGTTTTCCCCTTTTCCAGAGGCCCCTTCAAACGGTTTTTCCTGTGAGCACTCTATTACTATTGACACTACGTCGCCTTTTCTATCCTTCGTTGATGTTCTTTTTCTAACCGAAAATCCTATCCTTCTACCATATTTTTTGTAAAACTCATAAACGGCCTCAGTGCAGTCAAACTTCATGCCCACTTCAGGAACAACCGCATCAACATCTTCTTCCTCATTATTATGTCTGTATGCATCTGTTATTTATAAATATGTATATGCAGACAATATTATTCAAGTACAGATAATATTAAGGACATGGAGACATTATGGACAGATACAAATTATGCACATACAGACATTATAAGTTTACACTAGGGTATATTGATGAGATAGTAAAACCACTTAAAAGAAGAAATGAATAAATTATTAATAATTACAGACATTATTAATATAAATACAAACAACAAAAGGCAGTGTAATGACATTAAAAACAGATTGTATGAACATCATAATGTCTTCCATAACAACGAAAGAATACATACAAATGGGAATAAAATGTCTGTACGAAAGACAACAAATGTCTCCACGCAGACAAATTACTTCTCTATAAAGTATAAATAGACAATACAAATTTGTCTATGCTTAAAAAAACGCTCATGAAGAAACCATATAATATCCATGAAGAAACGATGCTAAATAAACACCAACCTTGCTCAGCATCCACAGTTTTCCCATCGGCCATCCCTTCATCACCTTCCGTCGCACCCTTCATCGCCGTTGTTTCCGCCTCTTCATGCCCTTGCCTCATGAATTCTGTCGCATCTTCAAAGCTTTCCATCGCCACTGGCGTGTCCCCGGGACTCGGACCGAATATATCCTCAAATGTCCAGCCCAGGCCAACTTCGTCGGCGCCGCAATACGTCTTACTAGCTTCCATGGCCGCTGCAGAAGCTCGATCACCTCTTCAGAGAGAGAGAGAGAATAGTTACAGACGAAAGATTTTCGCAGCAGACAATTTCTTCTCTGTGCAGGGGAGGGAGAGACGGAAAAAAAAATTAAGAGGGGAGAGAGGGTGGGGGTTATACGGTTACAAAGGGGTGGGGGTGGGGCTTTTTGTGCTGTGTACACCGGTGTGTAAACCGGGGTGTACACAGCGAATTTTCCTAGAAACAAACTATAAAAATGTATAGGAAAACTGAAAGTTAGCTTTATATATAGATTGGGAAAACAAAGAATCTTGTTAATAAAAGTGGCATACAGTGGGAAAAGAAAAGTTGTTATTAAACAGAAATAAATCACCTTGAATGATGACGACATAGCATAAGAACAAATCGAGAGGATGTAAACACATAATATCTGTACAGAATACAACTGACACACCTCCGATAGCTGCAAATGATGAATGAATATCATGAAGCATAGGCATTAATAGATCACCTTTCTCATTTATATTTATTTTCCTTAACAATCTAAAAAGAGACTATACCAGCTTCTAGCACACCAAATGAAAAATAACCCAAAAACGTTAACCATCAAAGCTAAAGAGATTACTTTCAATGAATTTTATCCATACTAAACTAATGGAAGGAGAATCAACTGTAAAATGTTTAGGATTAAAAACTCAACTGTCAAGACAATCTGGTGACCAAATTGAGCCAAATGGTTGCTCATAGTTAAACCCTTTCTCTATGATAAGATTGAGATCGACAATCTGGGGGTTTCAAGATTGAAAGTTAAATTATCCATGCAAAAGTAAACCAAATATTAATACACTAATTGGGAGTTTACCTAAAAGCGACTTCATAGAACATGATTTGCATTTCCAAGGGATTTGATCAATTTCGGGGGCTGCTTCAAAATCTTTGGTACCTAGGAGATTTGTGCGATAAGACATGGAAAGGGCTATTAGATAGGTAGGTTACATGCGTAGTGGGAAAATAGAAACACTTTGGCCATATTTTTATTATTGTTTACCTGCAGTTCCACAAAGATCAACTAATGTAAACACAATCAAGGAGAAAGTGTACTGGAATTGCAATCCTGCACCCCCCGAAAAAGTGGCTTTTAATTCTTTCAAACTTCCATTTACTATCTAAGAAAACAATATGCTAAAAAAAGAATAGGAAAGCTAATGCCTCTTGAATGGGAGATTCATGTCAGCCTCATTAGCACTATTTATTTTTCAATCAGAAGTCATGCTCTTCTTATGGGTGGTAATTTTTGAAACTTATGTAGAGGAGAACCAATAAGTAATATACTGGGTGAAAAAAAGAGAAGAAACTTATGTAAGGAATGAAACCTATCCAGGCTAAATACAAATAAAGTTATAGAATAAACATTCATAGGAGCATTAAACTTTAAAAGGAGATTATGGCAGCCATATTAAGATAGAAATAAATTTCATCTTCGTAAAATGCCATTTTAAGAGACATTGATATTTATAGCGTCAATAATTGCAATGGAAAATCATATTGGACATACAATCCTGCACTTTCAAAACAGTGGATTTTAGTTATTTCAAACTTTTAATTCCTACATAAGAAAACAATAGGCTAAAAACAGAAAAATAAAAAGAATGGGAAAGGTAATGCCTCTTAAACGGGAGTTTCATTGCAGCCACATGTAGATAAGACCAAAAGAGTCCTCAAAGAGTACCCTTCGTATAGTATAATCAGAGGTACATGCAACAAAATAAAAATTTCAGAAGACTCACATATATACTTCCACAAAACAGAACTTTGTGAGGCTCAAACAATTGTTTAAGTTGTATCAAAACTCAATAAGCACTTCAATCACCGAATCCGTGATTTTTTTTATCCATTTGGATAACAAGATGATTGAACTGCATATACATTGTCAAAATGCATGTCAAATAACCAAAATAAACCAGCAAACACCTTGTTGCCACTACACTATAAATGGCTTAAGCCAACACTTCAAAAATGTTGCATTACACCTCTAATGTGTTGCTTTAGGATCAATGGCAACACATTTCCACTTTTAAAAGTGTTGAAATTTTAGCCGTTGCCATTGGTGTCTATGGCAACAAATTAAAAAGTGTTGCAACCATTCTAGGTAAGGCAACATCATTCCTCACAAAGAGTAGACAAGAGTAAGGCAACACTTTTTAATGCAAATACAATACTTTCTAATTCTAGTTGTTCTTGCATCCAAAATGAGAATCGGTCTCCATAACCAATGAACAAAACGCACACACCATCAACACCTGAAAAAAACAAGTATATCAAAGACCAAATCAATTATTTGTAATATACGAAGTAAAGGAGGAAGATCCAACTAACAGGAGTGTTAAGGTGATTTCTATGACATAGGTATCACTGAACTTAGATAAATTGAATAAACACACCATATGAGAAACAAAATGTATTGAAAGTACACCGTATAATGTAAATGTCAGAGATATGTCTCATTTTCATTAGTTCTTCATTATAATACCTACACATTTATAGATGATACAAATATTATAAACAAATTAACCAACAAAAATCTAAAATTGGCAAATACAATTATTAGTGACAATGACAAATCAAACAAAATAACTACATTACTATTACCATCAAATTAAGTAAAGTTTACTTCAACATTTCTAATTTTGTATTAGCAGCAGCAAAATATTTTGTGTATTTGTCATCCATATAATGCCAATATATCAATATTAACCCAACATTTTGTAAATTATAATCATTAATCATAAGTTTAACTTTAGAATTTAAACCTTCAATTGCATTCAAATATTCAGTGGTTAGTAATTTATCTCAAATCCTAATAAATTAAAGTAAAAATCTTTATTCGAGACTTTAGAGAATCAAACTTCAAGATGCAGGGTGCTACTTTAGTCGTTTAACTAGTTAGTCATTTTTACACAACTACTCCGTTTGTGATAACTACTCGTCTCCAGGAGAAGGTAAAAACAAAGGAGGAGGTCGAATGAGAACTAGAGATGGGAAAGTGGAATTTGGGAATCACGGCAGCCATCTCCAATTGATTTTCAATTCGTCGCTTTGCTTCAATTTCAGTCCCCAATTTTAATACTACATATATTTCATACTACTAAGAATTTCTTCATTTTTGAGTCCCTTTAGGCATCAGTACTACTAAGAATTTTCAGCGCCCAACTGTCCGCCATTGCCAACTAATTACTACCATTCTGTATGTGTGAATAGGATATTAAGTTTCTACTTTCAACAAAAGAGTTGAATACAGAAATGTTACTATAAATCTCAAAGCATGTTCACAAAATTAATTAAACTTCTTATGAAATACTAACCTTGAGTATGTTTCAATGTTTTAATCTCCCTTAGATACTTCAGTCTCATTAGAATCAGAAGAGTTCGAATCATCTTGAAGCTGGTCCTTACAAACACCAAACGACATTGCTGCACAAAGCTCCTCAACATTGACTTTCAAATTTGGATTATCGGCTGCCAATTTAGTTATAGCAAAGGCTAAGCAGTGTTGAATTGGCTTGTTCATTTCATCAGCCATTTCTTCTTTTAATTTTGAAATGTGAGGAGGTGGTTCCTTCCGTTTCTTTGATCTCCCACGTCTACCTATAAGATAATTTGGTCCATGTGATATGTCTCCAATAAGTTGCTCAACCATCTCATTATTTCCGGTTTGGATGAAACGAGTTGTTCAAGCCTTGCCTACACATTGCACGAGTTAGTTATCAGTAATTCACAAACAATCTATAATTAAATGATTAAGATACAAATTAACCCATCTTCATAAATTGCTTACAATTTTAAACTCTATAACATCATTTAACGATATACTTACGACCAACCTTTCTCTTACGCGTTACAAGGAACACTTCTGCTTTACATGCTTTCTCCTTGTTTGGTTTTTTAGATTGCTAACATAAAACAATGATAAAAATTAAATCACTTTACCACGGGAACTTATAGAATGATACAGGTCACATAAAACATAATTGAGTATCATAAAAGCACACCAATTTCTCGCGAATTTGGGCAAAACTTCTTGGTACAACAGTGTGTGTCCTTTACTTTCTTTCGGTTGGAAGTGTTTTTCTCAGCTTTTGCCTAATAGGAAAGTGTACTGGAATTGCTATCCTGCACTCCCCCTGAAAAAGTGGCTTTTAATTCTTTCAAACTTCTATCTACTATCTAAGAAAACAATATGCTAAAAAAGAAAAAGAATAGGAAAGCTAATGCTTCTTGAATGGGAGATTCATGTCAGCCTCATTAGCACTATTTATTTTTCAATCAGAAGTCATGCTCTTCTTATGGGTGGTAATTTTTGAAACTTATGTAGAGGAGAACCAATAAGTAATATACTGGGCGAAAAAAAGAGAAGAAACTTATGTAAGGAATGAAACCTATCAAGACTAAATACAAATAAATTTATAGAATAAACATTAATAGGAGCATTAAACTTTAAAAGGAGATTATAGCAGCCTTATTAAGATAGAAATAAATTTCATCTTCGTAAAATGCCATTTTAAGAGACATTGATATTTATAGCGTCAATAATTGCAATGGAAAATCATATTGGACATACAATCCTGCACTTTCAGAATAGTGGATTTTAGTTATTTCAAACTGTTAATTCCTACATAAGAAAACAATAGGCTAAAAACAGAAAAATAAAAAGAATGGGAAAGGTAATGCCTCTTAAACGGGAGTTTCATTGCAGCCACATGTAGATAAGACCAAAAGAGTCCACAAAGAGTACCCTTCGTATAGTATAATCAGAGGTACATGTAACAAAATAAAAATTTCAGAAGACTCACATATATACTTCTGCAAAACAGAACTTTGTGAGGCTCAAACAATTGTTTAAGTTGTATCAAAACTCAATAAGCACTTCAATCACCGAATCCGATTTATCCATTTGGAAAGCAAGATGATTGAACTGCATATACATTGTCAAAGTGCACGTCAAATAACCAAAATAAACCAGCAAATACCTTGTTGCCAAGATACACATTACACTCCAATAACTCAAAAACCACCCTTAGATATCAGTATATCGCCACTTAAGAGAGCCGTTTAAGGTTTTAAAGTAATTAAAAACAATCAATTGCTCATAGACTTTCATAAATAAGAATATATACTATGATAAGTTGGAGAAATGAAACCATCAAGACATCACGAATGTTAAAATAAGGAATAGGGAATGAGGAGAATATATAATCTAAACCAAAAGGCAAAATTGAACTATATAAAGTTAAAAACTAATCTTTTTTCGTATTTACATTTCATCGAACACCTTATATGCTTTGGTGTACCCAAAACTCTCGTAAAATTTGAAAACTAAATTGATCAACAATAAAAGAACATGGAATAAGAGAAGAGACCGCGTACCTAGAGCGGCAATAGCATAAAGTTCGGTAATGTCATAGATTGAGAGCAAGTAGATTGTAGACCTGATGGTCTTGTACATGGTATTATTTGGAGGTCTTCGCATATCATAGCTGCGGAGGAAGTGAGAAAAATCATGCTGGAAATTTGGTGAGAGCGGAGAAGAGGGAAAGGATAGGGGCGTGAAGTTTCTGCAGTTTGCGAAGAGAAAGAAAGTGAGGGAACCACGTGGCAGCAGAATGTGAAAGGAGAAAAACTTGGGGAGAGAAACACGTAGGATTTTATGAGGGTAGAATTGTAAATAGATGAGCTATATCTTTTCTTATATATATAATAGATAATTTGAGAGCTATTAATTTATATAAACATTGATCTTTCTTGAATAAATATTCAAATAAAAATAAATCTAATTAGTTATTAATACGGAGTATTTGGTACTCCCTCCGTCCCAAAATAAATGTCATGCTTTCCTTTTCGGTCTGTTCCAAAATAATTGTTTTGTTTCCTCTTTTGTTATCAATTCACTTTTTTCTACTCAAATCTCAAGCACAACTTTTATCTTATCAACCACTTTCTTAAAACTTGTGCTAAAACAAGATAGAATTCCCCAAATAGGAGTAAAAGATAGGCAAAATGCAAAAATAGGAGTATCATGTTTTGAATAGGAGTAACTTTAGTGTTTAACAAGTATATCCCTACCCAAGCCCCAACAACTTTCATTAATAATTAAAACATAAAAGGAATAACATTAATTTATAATAAAATTGTAAAAAAAAATGAAAAAACACAAAAAATAAAAACATTTTTATTAAATAAAACATACTTCGTATTAAATAAAATTGATAAAAATAAAAATTATTAAAATAAAAAATATTAAATAAAAAACTTAAAAATTAAAATAAAAAATAAAAAACTAAAACAAATATGTAGGCGTTTTCCGCCGCCTCAACAACCTCCCAGCACCACCAGCTCCGACCACCGAAAAAAATGCCAACATTTTTTCGAAATGCCATTATGATGGCAGATTTTGAGAAAATTTGGCATTTTCTAAAAGCAAAGCTGCCATCTTTATGGCATTTTCAAAGAAAAATGGAAGTTTTAACATAAAATGGCATTTTTTCCGCCGATCGGAGGTGACATTGCTGGGTGATGGCCGAGGTTGCGGCAAAGGCCTGCGTGATTTTTTTATATTTTTTAATGTGGTTTATCTATTTTTTATTTATTTTTAATTTTTTTTTTAATTTTCATTATTTCAATATATTTTTTCAAATATTTTACAATTTTTTTTATATTTTATTAGGATCAAATAAGTCATATTTTAGAATTGACTAGGTTAGGGGTATTAAGGGTACAAAATTGATGTTTACTCATGTTGAAGGAAGTTTTAAGTTTCACTCCTATTTGTGCAATTATGTTTATGTTTACTCCTATATTGAGTAATTTCTCCTAAAACAAAGAAGACATTTATTTCGGGACGGAGGGAGTACATACTAATAAATTTTAAAAAAAAAAATATAAAAAAACAACAAATTAATTAGGGTCCAACCACTTCGGCCTTAAATTTTTCGGGTCTAGACCGAACTGGACCGGAAACTAGAATAACCTTGGACCGAAGGCCAGATCGATATGTAACTGTACGGGTCCGGTCTGGACGAGCCGTTCGGTTCGGTTTGATTTTTCAGTCTGGATCGAAATATGTTCACCCCCAATAGAGAGTACTTGCTCCTTTCGATTATCACTTTCCGTTTTTAATTAGACATTTCAGTTAAGGATTTTGAAAATATTTTTATTAATATACAAAGTAAAAATTATATGAAAAATAACTAAAATGATGTTTTTTTGACTGAATTCGGCTTAGATTAATAACCAATACTAATTCAGAGTATGGGTCAACTGACAAAAAAGAAACTGATAACCATTATTCCTCGAACCAGACTCGGAATTAATCATCGTAAAAATATAATTCGTTGATCCATAACCGGGAAACACAAAGCCTAATACGGTTACCAAATTCCTCTCATCCCCCACATCCAAAATCAACGTCTTACAGACCAGAACAGGAAAACAGAAACAAAAGGGTTTTTTACAAGAATATTACTAAAATAAAACATATTTACATAAATATGGTGTAACTTAAGATCAAAACTTGAACATGAATTACTATGATTTCATTACTACTCTAGTCAATAATCATACTTTTGTAAATCATCTTTATTTTGGTCATATTTATGTAATTATTTCCTTATTATTATTATTTATTCCCCACTTAACTAATCACATTTAGTTTGTTTCACAGAACAAAAATTTTGCTTACTGCCTCACTGTTGAACTAAATTTTTTGATAATTTAACACTTGAAATCTTTTTATTGAAACTGTAGCTATCAGGTTGAATTCAATCTTTTAGTGTGCTTTGTTCCAATTGCAATGAGCTAAGTTGTGTGACCTCAACTCACTCTTGAATCATATAAGAAACTTAATTCTCAATATAAGGTACCCAGTAGGCAGTAGACTATTTGTTAATAATCTTTTTCATGAATAATGTTTTTTACATATGTTAATGAATATGCAAGGAAATGTTGGTGCATTTTTGACTTCGACATTAAATGATGTGGGGAACTATGAGTGCGCTACTCAGCCTGTGCTGATTTGATTAGTTATTTCACTCGCATCTATTGCTATTCTTTCAATTAGTTCATCCTGACCTGACATCCGCATCCATGGATTAAGATTCGTCCAGGTTACCTTTCTTTTTTTCACCCATTTACGTTCAATTACCGATATTGTGTGATTCCATTTTACTAATTGGATTTTAGTTATTTCAATTTACCATTCATAACGAAGATAAAATGGTCTAGAAGCTATTTTAATTTCAATCAACAAAAAAGTATGGATGAAGTAAACTATACCTGAATCTATATGCATATCTCTTTCTCAATGGCCTCCAACTATAAAGAATCTATGGACAATATCTTCAAAGAGTTTTTGCCATTTTTGGTCCCTCGACGATTATGTCAATGACACTTTTGGTACTCGACTTCTAATTGTTCCATTTTTAGTCCTTGACTATTGTGCTAGAAACACTTTTAATCCCCGACTTCCAGGTTTCCCACATTTAGTCCCCGAGTATTGTCAAATTGACACTTTTAGTCCTCCCATTATGATTTTGGCATAATAAGTGGAGAACTAAAAAAGTCACTATTATAATAGTTGAAGGACCAAAAGTGACACTTTTATAAAAGTTGAAGGATTAAATATGGAAATTTTCAAAGACGGGTACCAAAAGTGTCTCTAGCGCAATAGTCAAGGACTAAAAATGGAAAAAATCAAAGTCGAGTACCAAAAATGTCAATGACATAATAGTGGGAAGACTAAAAGTGGAAAAAAACTAATACTAGTACAAGAGTAAAAAGCTTCTTTAAACCAGAGAGCAGCTTATACACCTCATCTACTTATTTTAGTAAATTAATCTTTAAAGTCAAGTTTTTAGTATTTTTACTAATATTGATTCATTGCTCTTGATGTGATTAAGAATTATTTCGTATTCGGAATCTGAATTCATCCGAAGTCCTTAATACATATGGTTCAATCAATAACAACTAAACCAAGGCCCTTTCTTTGGTTTTATTGCTATGAATGAAATCTCCAATGGCAGATGGGCAATGTTTGGATTTGCTGTAGGAATGTTAACGGAGTATGCCACTGGCTCTGACTTTGTTGATCAAGTGAAGATCCTTCCCTCAAATTTTGGAATACTAGACTTGGAATGAGGCTGGCTGTCAATACTCGGAGTTGTTCAATCCCGTCTTTAACAATTTTTTAATGAATGGAAGAAACATTAGGAAGACCAAATTGTGCAGCCATGTTGTCATTTTGGCTTTGAGTTTTTCCTTTTGTCATGTATATCTTTTGTATATCTTTTGCTTAAATGTTTCACAGACGGGTTATTAGCAAGTGAGTATACATACCATACGCATTTCTTCCTGATATCCCCCACTCAATGATATTGTTTTGCATCCATGAAATTGAATTCGTGTTTGACTAATCACCATGCGGGATATCTATGTAATAAGTGGCATGCCATGGGATGCAAATGGAAGACGTACGAAATTTGGTAAGTTCTAGTTCCGTTGCTCACATGATAACAATATAGTGATAAATTGGTAATACGCGTGACCCACATCTTTGTTGTGTGACAATTGGAATGTCCGGGGAGATAGTTAGAGGGCCAAAATAATTTTTGTATTTTTGTTACTAATGAAATTAAACTCCTAATTGGAGTGAATACTGGAAATGGTTGTGTCGTTGATTCAAGAAGACCTCCTTCTCTCTTTGCAGGAAGTTATTGTAAAGATCCTCTATATTTTTTTTTTTTTATAATAAGTCATTAGTTGGTTGGAGAAGTAAGCATGCCAATGTATTTTATATTTTGTGGTTATGATTTGAGGGCATTCAAATCACACTTCCTCACGGGATGTAATTATCCTAAATGCTTAGACTTTGGACATTTCTTCCACAAATATAATATTAGTACTCGCTTTTGAGGTGTTTTTCATTATACTAATTTGTGTAGGGTTGGATTCGGTCCATGGACCACGGTCATGAAGTAGTCGGATTAGAAACGGTTAGTTCTCGGGACAAGACCAGACCCGTTATTTTTGGTTTGGATCGAGACCGGTGCCATACCCATCCTCACTGGCACCAGTCCTGTTTAGTATTTTCAGAGACCAGTACCGGTTCATTTTTTTTTTTGCATTTCAAGGTTATAAGCATTTTAGAAGAGGTATAAAAATCCAGTTAAAAGTTAAAACAGATAGGGGGGGGGGGGGGGGGGGGGGGTTAAGAGGGTTTAAAACCTAAAAAAGCAAGAATGAAAAAACATATCCCTACTTATGTACTCCTACCTATTAGAGCAACCGCAATGCGGTGCTTTCTAGTGAAGATTAAGTGTGCCATGTCATCAATTGAGACAGTGTACATTAAATTTGGCTTCCAATGCATGTAGTCTAATGATGAGTTGGCAAAATGAAATTAGACGGTGTGAAGGAGCACCGTGTGAGTGTAGAAAGCCCGTTAAACATGCTGATCTGGACAGATTGCATCTCAAAACAACCTCCGCCTCTTCGCCTCTTCATTCCCCCGAAGTAAAAAATGTTTCTAATTGCAAATAACGGGTCCGATCCTGTTCATGCCATTGCTAATCTTGATCTGTTCGGTCCTTTATCTCTGGTCTAGCAGGAAGATGACGATACCGCTACTCGGTGATTTGGACAGGTTGGGACAATTGCCGATCTGCTTCCCACGTGAACACCTAAACTGAAATATGAGACTTCATCCATTGGTTAATATATGGGAGAGTTCGTTGTTCAATTCGATGTCTGCCACCGATAACAAAATACGAAGTAAATTAAGATTTATTATTATTTTTATATACGAAGTACTAAATACCGGTAGACATTAATTAGACTTGTTGTGAGAAGTGGTGCGTTGGAGGCTTCTTTCGTAGTTTACTATCTAGTCATTGCACTTGGTATTATGTGTATTGGAAAGCTTATTAATTATTTGACATTTGGCCTATTTTTTTAAGACTAGACATGGAAGCATTGTGGATGCTCTTATATACGAGTATTGAGTTTGTAACAAATTAAGACATGATTATTTTTTGGACTGAATAATTGACTACAATGGCTAGATAGGGTTGGATCTGCAAGAACTTCAAGAATTTGTAATGTGTAATGTTTGTTAATTTTAATATTTGTTATTATTTATTTACGATGTCTCTCATTCATGCGATAAATATAATACGGTAAATATAATACAAGGCATCACTCATCGATTCATTCCCTTCCCCTGCTTAGCCAAGTCGCGAATCACCCTGCTCCTGCCCATGTTCGGTAAAACCTTCTATTTCGTTTTCTGTTCTACGTATACGTGTTCTGAATATTACAATTCACATTTGTTACACTATTTTTATTTAAATTTCTTTGTGATTACTATAACGTCGCTGTCTTTCTCACGTAAAATTTGATTTCTTCCATTCTTTTATTGGTCGATGGCCAAAACTGATTCTTGTCTTTCAAATTTGGCATCTTCCAGGCATAGTTCTTTGTCAGTTTTTCGATTTCTGATTTCCTTCGTTGGATTTATGGATCGCTGGACTGGAATTCTGAAGGTGCCATTGTACACAAGCAGCATCAAAACGTACTACCGGGTTGCGGCGTCCCTCCGCCTATCTCCTTCTCCCAACACGTTTGCTGTAATCAATTCTTCCTTCGTATATTCCGTTCGAGTTATCATTCATCTGAATTGATTAGTTGAATCCAGTCGGTCTTTTTCATTAAACCCTCAATCTCCCCATATATTCTGGGATAAGTCACCAGGATTGTGTCTGTTTTGATTCGTTGACAGTAATTTTTTTTCAAAAGTAATTTGTCTTGATCAACTGAATTTATGGAAATGTGGAACTGAAGGATAATAATATGTTGAAATATTGAGTTTTTGCTAATGAGTTAGGTACCTGCTGCAAATGCTATATTTTTCAGTGGAGACCGAGTTGAAGGGAGTGGGAATCCAGTAGTTGAGAGGCTGTCGGATTTGCAGAGAGTTGCTGAAATTTTGATTTCTAAATTTGGGGATACTACCAATGCTTGGGTGGTCGAACCACCCATATTCAATGGCCCTTTCGGTGTTTACAAGGACTTCATCCCTTCAATTAATGATTCTGGAGAGCCAAAAGTTTATGATGCAAAGGAGTTCCCAGCATCTTCATCTATTGTCTTGCTCTTGTGGAATTGCCTGAAAGAGGTAATTAGTTAAAATAATAATATTGATAAGGTGGAATTGCTTGAAATAAGCAGAAGATTACATGTTTGCCCCGTTTCCAAAAACATGTTTACTTGAAAACGCCTTATAAAAACGAACTGCAAATTCCAAAGCTCCAAATCTTAGATTATCCTTTTTCAAGAATATTCCTGCATAAAGTATATATTTTTCAAAATCTGATGTAACCTTTTATGAGTTATTGCCATCTATAGCAGACTCTCTCCTATCGTTTTTGTTCAAATCTTCAATAGCTCTTCCAACAGATGTGCTTGTCCTAAATGTACTATTTTCTGAAAAACAAATTTCTAATAGAGCTTTAGGGTGTGGATGAAACTTTGCATTTAGGGTTTGGAAGGGAAGGCTTTAGAGGACTTGGGATGTTTTTACTTGGATTGTTTTTAATCCCGGTTATAAAATAAAGAGAGACCGGAAATTTACCAGGCCAGACCAGTTCAAAGCAGATCAGACCTGGCAGACCAAACCAGAAAATTTCTGTCCAATTTAAAACATTCTTACTCTATAGTCTATATCTTGATATAAATATGATATTTTATAAAATTTAAAGGTTAACATAATGATTTAATGTTATCTGACCATTGGATTAGCATTTAATACTTATATCTGACCAGAGTGACCAATGAGATATATAAGTGATTTTCTCTGACAACTGTTTCTCTACAAGGCTAAAAATGTCACTGCAGGGAAGAAGCTAAAACAACCTTTCACCGCTGAGGTGTCCACACTGCCTTCTTATGACAAACCTAGGACTATACTCCTAGGTTTTAGTAAGGGCGGGATCATACTTAACCAGCTTCTTGCCGAGCTTGCCCTCTCCCCAGCTCACTCCCCTGAAGATAAAGACCCCCAAGCAAACAAAGACGAGATCATACCCACTTCCAAAGAAAGTTTTTTAAACAGCATAGCCGAGTTCCACTACGTTGATGTTGGTTTGAACAGTAAAGGAGCATACATCACCGACCAAGATGTGTTTGACAAAATTTCTGAACGATTTGATACAGGAGCGCCCGGCATTCGGTTTTTCTTACATGGGACCCCCAGGCAGTGGAATGATGTCAGGCGAAGTTGGATTAGAAAAGAAAAGGATGAACTCTTTCGGCTTCTTAAAGGTGTTGCTCATAGAAACATGGGGAGATTGCATATTAGTGAGCGGTTGTATTTTGGTAACATGCCCCCAGATTTGCAGATGCATTTTGAAATCATTGAGCGTCTGGATGTTAGCTGAGTTTCATTCCCATGTTGCAATTTTATAATGCAAGACAAGGCATATATAGGACCAGATTATTAATTTTTTTTGGACAAGATTATTTTATAGGTAGGACTTTATAATTTTACAATGTCACATGTTTAGACAACAATGGTGGGGTGGCGGTAGGGTGGATTTGGGCCGGTTCCCGTCTGATTAGAATTCCGGACAGGCTGGTTGCCTGGTTCCCCCTCACCGAGCCAGCGACCCCTAGAGCGGAGAATGGAACTGGTAGGTTGTGGAGTGGAACCAATCATGAGTTTGACAGGTTCCAGATCCATTTACTAGTTCCGGTCTTATTAAAGAAACCTGGTTGGGATAGTTTACCCTTTTGGTTCTGGAATTGAAACCGGGTCCACCCAATAGTGGGAGGCAATAGTAAGATATCTTGCAGGTCATTAAGGGATCGTTTGGTTTAATATTTTAAAGATCTAGTTTTAAGTAAAAAGTTATTGATTCCATTTGTTATTTGAAAGAAGAATAATTCAATACTCTATTTGGGGAAGGCTGAACATAAGTAACCACAATGAGCTTAGTGAACATAGGTTTAGTAAAAATTGGTTAAACTAACGTGAACTTAAGTAACATATGCAAAAATATTGTTTGGAAAGTTATTAGTGTAATCTAGGCAAGTGCAATAAAGTGCTACTTTAATAAGAGAAGAAAATACAAAAGAACAAAAGATGACATATTTATTCTTAATTAGCTGAGAATCAGTTGAAGAATCCATCTAGAAGTTAGAACTAATCATGAATGTATAGACTGCTAAAATTTAGAAATTACTAAAATTACATAACTGGTATGAAGCAACTACTAAAGCAATTTAGTAGTACAAAATTACATAGCCTAATTAAGCAAAATTACAACAAATTAGTTTATAGACCCTTGGTATTCTTTTCATCTCTATACAAAACATGTTTGTTCTATGAGAATCAGTTTATAGTCTGCAAAGCCAAAGCTATGGTAAGTTTACTACAATGAACTTGCCTTGCGTCAATAATTAAAGTAGCTTGCCTCTAATTAAGCCATTTAGTAACTGGTGTTTTATTAAAATAAAAAACATGAGCAACTTCATGAATAACATCTTCAGTGAATCAGTGTTGGCAGATTAATGAGCTGTTGGATCTACGCTATCAAATAAAATACTCCGTATATCTTTCTTATAATGGGTTAAATTAAAAATCATTTTAAATGTGAAGGCATCTTCAACTATTCTCATAAAGTACGGGTTTTGCTACAGAGAATGAATGTGAATATGTGATGCTAATTATCATATAGGTTATAGGTATTTGGCACTAATACCTCATCATATGCTTTCTAAAAACCACTTAGGATATCTTTCTTTTTCACAACCATTTTTACTGCTAAAAAAAGGTAAACGTTTGATTAAATTGATCATTGTGAAATAAAATCCATGCTCAATTGGCCAAATTTTGAAGTAGGAAAATAGTTAGGTGTGAAACTGAATTTTAAGTTTGAAACAAAATATAGGAGAGATGTTACAATATAAATCTAAAAGTGAAAAAGATAGAGAAGAGAGACGAAGACTTTGGGACTCTTTTTGTTAGTTTAAACTACACTCGTAATAACGTGTATGATATTTTTGAAATAAAATTTTCAAACAAAACAAAAATTGGAAAGAAATTACACCGGAGGTTGATTTGTTGGGCACCAATCTTGTTGTGAATGAAGAAATTGAGGAATTGGAAGACATTTGGGTTGACAAACGGCTGCACATATCAAAATTTGAAGAACTGTTATTTTGATTAATCATCTGTAAAATTAAAGAAAATATAATGGGACTGCAAATTGACTAAATTCATATAATTACCTTTGGGCGGAAATTGGCGGCATTGAGATGAATAATGAATTTGTTGAAGCCAGTTTAATTCCCTAGCGTCAAACCTGGTGGTAGCGTGATATGCACTTGTTAAATGTTAGTGCATAAATTTACAATTTTATATTTGTTTGTGATGTAAATTTACTTTCATTGTGATAGTTGTAGCTGTACATTAGCTAGTTTGTATTTGATTGTAATCGTATTTCTAGCATTTTATTGTTTGTTGGGCTATAAGTTTCGGATAAGTTTGGAAGAAAAAAGGATGAAGAAACCTGAGTTTAGTGCAAAACACGATCGGGTATGACCTTTACCCGGTCGGGTGTGATGAGAAAGAATAAATTGCTACGAAACTAGCAAATACCCGGTCGGGTATTGTATATACCCGGTCGGGTATGAAGTGATTTCGGGCAAAAAAATGTGCAAAAGAACACAAAGACGTAGGAAAAAGATTTGATTGACAAATACCAGGTCGGGTATCCGGACATGTGTTGTGCTTGTTTTGGTTCTAAACTCGAGGACCAATTGGTAGAGTTCAGTCCATCGTGAATTGGGTTTGCATGGTAAGCTTGGTCCGAAAGGGAACTTTGGTTCTCATCTATTACTTGTATGATCGCAATGATGTACTTGTAATAGTCCGGCGATGATGAGTCTCCTCACAACTTTGTATTGCTACTCTACACCACCTAGGACCAATAAGGTGGAGAATGTTGGAGGTATTGGTCCTACCAAGGCCTCCCTTCCACTTTATTATTGACTTGCACCCCATGTTTACTCCCACTTTGGCACCTCTTGTTTTGAATCTCTCCTAACCAATAATATGACCATTTTGACTTATGTGGAGTGACCCCTTTGAGCTGTCTGCTGCAGTCCTCCTTGTCTTTGCATCACCCGTGAGTGTCATTTGTGTTGGCCAGCCTATTATTTATCTAGCTCTTTTCTTCCTTGTGAGAGCAGCCTGCGTGAGATATTCCAGAGAGAGAGCAGTGCCCTTCTTCTTCTCCATTTCCTTTGTGTGAGAGTGTGAGAGAGAATACCTTAGTGGTAGAGAAGAAGCTTGGTGAGTTGTGTTGTGGTCTAGCCTAGAGTGGTGTGTGTGAGTCTAGTTAAAGGGTTCGAGACCTGAGCCGGAAGACGAATCGATTGTTGAAATACTCCTCATGTAGCCAAAGAAATATCTTTGTACAGAAAAGTCATTAATTTATATAAGATTTATATTAATTTATCTTATATTTGTGACTGATCCATTTTTTTGTGTTGGCTGCTAAGTGTTTTTCAAAGATTACATAATAATATATCAAGATTGTCTTCAAGATTCTCAAATAAAACATAACTGCCACTTTTTTATCCAACGCTTTATATTCAACTTCTTTTATCAATCATTGTACGAAGATATCAACTTCAAGATAAGTTTTCTTAATTTACATCTCAATAAATATATACGTAGTGTTGAGGATCGATTCCGTAGCCATATTCCGGCTTAGGCAGTCCAGTGCTTGGTTTTCCGTTGTCTCTTGTGCACACCTAGGCTAAGGGAGCAACACTCTATTAGCCACGCCTATTAACTTCACAAAGAAGGAGAAAACAGCCTCACATGGAAGAGGCATACTGCCAGCAAGAAGATAGGTCCGATAATTTGAAGTTATGGCTTATCTCAAAGAAAGCAAAGGTCTGCCCATATAACAAGGTCTGATTTTGGCCTTATTAGCTAAGGAAACAGGACAACAACGGATACATGCAATGTACAGACAAGGAGATAATTCAACTCAATCAGGATTCAAATGGGACAACTGGATATGAGTATATCAGACTGATGCAAAGAATAGGAGGTGTAGCGGGCTGCTAAATAGAGTGTCAACCATTATTAATATACAAAAAACGTTTGGGCCAACAATATATTAACAATCTCCACCTTTGGCCCAAGGTAGTGCACTTAGACAATCACGGAACCGCGGACTCATCATTTCCGGATCATTACAAGTATAATCACAAAGATAATACAAGTAATAGAGAGACACAAGTACTCTCGGGGTAAAATCACCAAGCTTACCGAGTCCATAAAGGACTTAACTCTACCATAAGGTCCTCGAGTTCAAAACCGAAACCATCACAATGCTATTAACACGTAGTACTAAATTATTAATTCATAAACTCTAACTACAATCATGACTTGAAAAACAAAAATTCAACAAGCTGATAATGAGAGATCACAATTTAAGATATTGAAAAGAAATCGATTCTATTAAGAGTCATTAAAAACCAATACTTAGTTCAATCATTAATCAAATTGACACAAAACCAGTTGACAATAAAAATGCATCCCAAATCAGGGATGATAGATTTGAAAAATGAGTAAGATCAAACGTAGTGAAAAGTGAATAAATTAAACTAGAGATGATTAAACTCACCTAGATCTGTTGTAATGTATTGAACCACGAAGTGGCTGTCATGATATGAAGCAATAGTATTATATGTTGTACTTATAACTAGTAGCTGCCAATATGGGTGAAGACGAGATAGTATAACACAGGGTAGATGATCAAATAAGCTTGTTTAAATGTTAGCATCAGCGCATGATAATTTACTAAGGCTTAACTAGTAAGATGGAAATGATTCAGCAGGAGGAAAGAATAAATGAGCACAACAATTTATGAAAGTACAAAGTGGTGTTGCCCAAACAATTTGCAGGTTGATTAGTTTAATTTTCCTATGCAGAATTCTTCGGTCATCTCAAATATTCGAGAGGCATGTTGAGGCCTGGCAAATCTCCTCCTTAATAGCACTGCAACTTTAGAAAACAACTTCCCGCTCACCTGAACTCTAATTTTCATCCGTCAGATTTTATGAATCTGAATCTACGGCTTCGGCTTTCCTCACTCTTTCGTTCCTTCTACATCTCACCTCGCCCTAAACGCCTGAAATACCTTCACTCATCATCCATGAATTCTTCATTGAAATCAGAACAACCTGAACAAATGGAAGGTGTTGCTACCCCTGCAAGATCGTTTGTTACCTATTTCTTCGCTGATTGCAATTTCGCTGTCTCAGAGATCCACAAGCACGAATGCAATCGTAAGCATACCCCCAGAATCCCTCTTTGACACAGAGCAAAGAAAGAGACTGAAACTTCTGAAATCGCTTGAAACTTCTCAAATCCCTCTTAGACTATTCTTTAACTTTTCTTTTATCACAATACTTTAGTATGTTTTTGGTTTGATTTTGAGAAAAGGTCTTTCA